AATAATTTCACATATTGTTAGCACTGTCTCAATACAATAATCGAATTTGGAACAGTATCCTGCACACCGTTATCAACAAAAGATATATCCATTCTGAACACTAATGCTGAGTGCCTGAGCATGGGTGGAATGTAGTGAGAATTGATGAAGGTACCAAGTTATGCTACTTGAGTTCTTTCGACATGATGCACACACACGGGCTCAAGAATGCATATTCCTTATCGTCTGATACCCAAATTGATACATAGAACACTCCATGAAGCCTCTTAGAAAGAATGTGAAATTGAAGTTAACTGAGTTTTGCTTGATCTCATGCAGGTTCATGAAGTCCCACCATGTGTCCATCGAGACAACGTAATGCTGCAATCTGCATAAGACACCAGATTAAGAAATAAAAAAACATGTTGAAGATAAATGAGGATAATTTATTGCATTGACAAGCACACAGTACAGCCAACAATAGGGAACATATATCTTTTCTGGATTTTAGCAGTTGGGGATTTGCACGATAAAGCAACTGAGGCTTATAATCCATGGCATTATGCTGGTAAAGAAGAGAATTGAAAGTAAATTATTAACAGCATTTCATCAGTATCAAGTTCTGGCTAACACGCCCAATGTTACTCTTGGACTCCTCAACTATTGTTGGTAGACACTGGTACGTATCCAAGTATAAGACTTTGTAATATATAAAATATCCTATGATTTTAGTCTAACATTAAAGTGTAACATGAGAGTTATGTGACAAATTTATGTCAAAATTCAAAATTTTGAGAATTCGACATGATTACATGAGGTAGAGGAATCAGAGTAACATAAAGCAGTGCAGTCAGTTCTTGGTCAGTTACTATCGCAACAAGCTGATATCTAAAGCAGATCATCACACATCTGACATAAAATAGAACTAAATACTCCAATAGTGTGATATTTGGTTGATGTAGCATTTAGCACACAGAAACCAGATATCAAACGAGTAATCATATATATTCAGAAAGCTAGAAAGAGCAATGGTTCTAAGGAAATAAGTACTAACCTTTCCATGGATTTCATGTTTGATTGGGCCATCTAGCTCTGCTCCCAGTTCCATTAATTTCATGACTGTACTGTTAATGTCTGTCACTGTAAAGGACAGGAGCGAAGAGTATTGCTTCTGGACGACATGGTCACTGCAAACACAGAAAAGTTAAGACATGGATTACGAGTTACAAACTTTACCACATGTCACATTCAGAATTTGTTTTTATCGGAAGGATTCTCTTCATTGAGAAATGTTCTTAATGACATGGAACACTAAAGAAGAATTTCAACTAAATTACTATCATATATTGGATGTGTAACAACTAATGATGCTCTGATCAGTTATCACATCTATAAATCCATTCAACCACAGTTCTCCATCGAAGATAATGCATTGATGAATGATAACTGCCTATAAGGGAATGATGATTGTTTCATTAATAAATTCTGACCTCGTGTTATTGTGTTACCTAATTTGTGGTATGAGAATGGGTATGGGAAAGCAATTCGTCCCCTAGTTTTGTTAAATTAGTCCAAAAGTGTGATTTAGTTAACACTACTCTGAACTTAATCAAACATTTGAAGCATAAAATTTACAGCAACATCTAGTGATTTAGTGTTTGTTGCTCAAGAACCAAACAATCTGCCTCTCATATGCTAATACAAATTACACAATTCTGATATCAAACATTGGAGACAATCTAACTGCATACATCTCAAATAATCGAATTCTTCAACGCAGGCTTAGCAAAGTCGAAAACCCCAGTCAATCTAACTGAATCACACCCTAGTCCAATAAGGCAATAAAAAGAAGGCAACTTCATCAATAAATTTTACCAAATTTTGAAAATTGAAACAAGAGAACTAACAATATTGACTTTCTTGCTGCAAATCGTTTATTGGGGTTCTTCTCATTTAATCTAATTGAAACCTTATCAAGAACAAATAATATAAATTACAATGATCAAATTGAACGTAATTAAGCCATTAGAACAAAGAAGAAAGCCCTTAATAATCACCCAAATGCAATCAATCAAAAACCCAATAAATTTAGTCTGAATTCTGATGCAATTTCACAGCAAAATTGAGGGAAATCAGTCAAAGTTCTAAACTTTCTGGGTAATGACGTTATAACCATTGAAATTCAATCAAAAACAGCAAAAATTAAGGAAGAAAAGAAAGAAGGAAACCTGGAAGAGTGTAAGAGAGCAAGCTTGAAGGAGTCAGAGCTAAGTTCGGCCCAACGAGGAGTGCAGACATTAATGGTGAAACCCAAACCATCGGAGTAGAATTTGGCAGCTCTGGGTACATCCTTGTGCATCTGCATCACCCATTTGAACACCGCTCCTCCCATCTTTCCCACCGAACGAACCAATTATATTTGAGAGATTTCAAGGGTTTTGCATTGTTTTTTAAGACTCGGTTTCTTGTCAACTTATTTCGTCTAATTTTAATAGGTCTAGTACGGGTTTTGGACTAGTTTTTTCGGTCTTGTCTTGTTTCCGAGTCTAATTATCAAATTTTCGGTTTTTGGTTTGATTACGTTTTTGACCCGTGAACAACCCTATTTAGTGATATGGTTAGAACTAGAGAAGAGCATACATTCATAATTGATCGATTTTATCTTTCATTACACGTATTTATTTACAAACATTAGATAATTTCATTTTTTACAATGAGAATATGAAGAAAAAAAACACTAGAACTTTTATTCAAATCCAACAACCACATTGCATCAAACTGTGATGAGGCAGATTAATGGTTCTACACAGAAAAATACTAGCCAAGACTTGAATTTCATCACAGCTTATTATAGCCTCTTAATATCAGTATGTATAATGGATTTATCCTTGTGCAGCTTTCAGTGTGTTGCCAATGTCGATGACAAAACGATACCTAACATCTGCTTTGAGTAGACGATCCATGGCCATGTTAACATATTCCACTGGAACAACCTCAATGTCTGCTTTAATATCATGCTTAGCAGCAAAATCGATCATTTCCTGTGTCTCTTTCATGCTTCCGGCACAACTTCCAGCTACGATCTTCCTACCTGTCAAATACAACCACAAAAACCAATCATGTATTTCTGTTACATAACAATTCATTAGCTGAAACTTGATCATGCATACCCATAAGCAGAGGGATGATTGGCAACTCAAGAGGTTTGCCTGGAGCCCCAACCATGATCAACTTTCCCTGAGTCTTCAGCAGACCAATCAATGGTAAGAGAGGATGAGTTGCCGAAACTGTATCAATTATGCCATCCATTGTCCCCACAGAAGCCTATACAAATACAACGTACAAGTAACTCAGGTAAATATTGACACAAAAAAGTTGAATCAAGTATGCATACATGTGATGAAAGTTACCTGCAGTTGCTGAGGGTCGTGGCTAACCAGAAATGAATCAGCGCCAAGACGATTGGTAGCTTCCTCCTTTTTGTTAGGTGAGGTGCTAATGACCGTGACCTTAGCACCAAATGCCTTGGCGAATTTCACAGCCATGTGTCCTAGACCACCAAGGCCAACAACGCCAACATGGAGTCCAGGAATGTCAAGCCCAAAGTACTTTAAAGGGCTGTAGACAGTGATGCCAGCACATAGAAGAGGGGCAGTGGCATCGAGTGCCATGTTCTCAGGAATGCGAACAGCAAAATGCTCATCTACCACTATTATATCAGAGTAGCCTCCATATGTAGGGGTGCCATCGAAGTAAGTGGATCCATATGTTAAGATCATTTCGGGACAGTAATTCTCAAGATGATCGCCACAACTATCACACGAACGACAGGAACCAACCATGGTTCCTACCCCAACTTTGTCCCCTACTTTGAATTTTGTTACCTTGCTTCCAGTAGTAATAACTGTTCCTACCATCTCATGTCTACAATCAATGAAAGCAGGATCCAGTTAGATGCCTTGTCTTGTTATCAACCTGTTCTTTAGTGTATAGTGGTGTAGTTCCCGGTTTCTTCCAAAAGAATAAGAAAGAACTATGATATGCTTGTATCAAATTACTACAAATAGGAAATGCATAACTAGATCATATTCATCATAATTACAGCTATATGCATTCATATCTAAATAAATCTGCAACTATCCCTCATGGAGCAAAAGTTAGATTTAGAGATCGTATAAGAATGCAACAATCATACCCGGGGATAAGTGGATACTTGGACATTCCATGATCATTTTTAACAAAGTGAAGATCAGTGTGACAAATACCACAATACAATATTTTGACAGTGATATCAATTTCTCCATTGGCCCTGAACCAAATATTAATCTTACATTAGTTACGTAAGCTCAACAGATTATAAGAAGTTCAATCTAAAATGAAAAAGGGTAAACACGCAAAAAAAACCAAAATATTACAACCTTCTAGAAAAATCAAAGGGAGAAAGGATGCCTGATGAATCACGAGCTGCCCATCCATAAGCCTGTTGTTGTTGCTGATCAACTACAGATTCATATATGCTAGACATTATATATACTTGTACAAAGTATAATACTCCGTAAAATTAGTAAAATCTCAAAATTATTGAAAATTTCAAGTCACAATGTAGCATCTCAGGCGAAGTTCCCCTATTATAAGAGGAATACCTTGTGATTGATTGATGAACAAGTAAAACTTTCAATAGCAGTAGTACCAGCACTAGTCAAAAACCAAAAAAGCCTTCATAAGTGAGTAAGTGATAACGTTATCATCAAGGATATAATATGTCATACATGACGGAGTCTTTATACCTAAACACAGGCAATATAATATGTCATACATGACGGAGTCTTTATACCTAAACACAGGCAATACCGCCATAGCCCATGGTATGAAGGTGTGCTTGTCTAACATATGGACATAACACAAAACAATCAGTCAAAAGTGGATTCATTAGGCTAACTTTTGGCTGTTAACAAATATACAGTAGACACACATTCAACTAGTAGAATTGAGTATTTAATTAGTCTTTGTTTTGGAGTATATAAAAATCAAAAAGTTAGAATAATTGCTTGTAAAATTAACAGTGTACATAACATACACAGAACAGAACTTTAGTCTTATAATCATAACTAAAGAAAAACCTCATTGGCATCTAGTTGACCCAGTTCAAAGATCCCTGCCAATTGATGCAGAGAAGACGCTTTGTGTTGGATCAAAGGACATTCCTTGAAACACAAAGTCGTAGCTATATTTTTTTCCAATGCTTCAGCTGCAACACTTGTTCAGCTTTTAAGAAGTGATAGCAAAAGACAGTTCAATGAAATTCAGACTCAAATTCATCTCAAATTCTCTCTATTTTCCATCAATATTGTTACAACTACGTTGATTGTTTATTTTTGAGTCTTACTCAGGCCAACTAACAAAGAAAAGACAGGTGGTGCCTTGCCCGAATCTTTTCTCCTTTGTAGTTTGTTCACAGGATGAAGATTTGTGTTATAACTTTCTTGCCAAAGTGTTACACATTCTTCTGCCAGTATCCTCCCAAATATTCACAATGCAGACTTTCCTCCAGAGAATTATAATCATTTGTCGTCAATCTGAATTTCATTAACCCGATCATCAGCCAGCAGAGAGGAAGAAGATGATAACAGAACCTTGCTTGTTAAGTTGCACCTTTGGAAACCTTTGATTGTATGTTTCGCCCTTCCACCCTTGCTTCTAGAAGCCTAGCCTTCAACGTGTTTTGCTTACTGCTCCTAGGCCATATTGAAGAAGACTCAGAGATTTCATGGTCTTGTGAAAGGATTTTGGATTCCCAATTCTTCACAGGACTAGCAAGATCTGCTAACAAGAAATGATTATCTGGTAATTCACTCTCTGGATGAATTCTCTCTCCCTCTATTGATGAAGAGTTATTCCTCAATAAATTATCAGGCATACGATTTGAATTCCCTGCCCGATTTCCAAATCGTTTACTCCTCCTTTCAAGTAAACCTTCTTCTGTTACAGCCTCTTGGTTATCGTTCAGGGTGTGTCCATTACTAAACGTCATCCGAGCCATGTGTTTCTCAAACCGTGCTTGCAAGCTAGATAAACTACGGCCATTATTACTTAACTCTTGACATTCACCATTTCTCTTTGTTGCATCTTTCTTCTGTATTTCTTCAAGACCCCTTTCTTCAGAAGAATTACCAACAGTTTTTGTGTGAACCCCATTGGAATACACTCCGCCAAAAGTTTTCGTCAATTCAAAACAATTTGACTCACTATCAGTAGAGTCATTTTCATCCTCTTCGTCAACATTTTGAGGAGCACTTGTAGCCTCATTCAATGGGAATGACTCCAATGACTGACGGCGAAAACCACTACTCTTGGAACTTTTGTTATGAAAGTCAACATCTTCTCTTGATTCCAAAGTTCGCCTAGCTTTTAAGAAGGTTTCTATTTCAGGCCTAAGCTTGTCCACGATCATGCACTTTTCTTCCATATCCTTGCGCATTTCTTCTGTTAGCTTCATCTGTACCCGTTCATCCAACCAAGCCTCTGAAATATGGAGAACAAGGCTATCAACATGTCCTCTGTGAACCTGCTCCTTCTCACTCCTGAATTTCTGAGACCTAAGCTCTTGCTCATAGTCTCTTATTCCCATAGTAAACTCATCGCATAAGTCCTCCAGGAGGATACGTGCTCTTCTCTCCTTTTCTAGTTCTTTCAAAGCCTTAGAGAAGGAAGATTTCAAGTCAGAAACCTCTCTGGCCATCTTGCGATGCAAACTCTCAGAACGCTTTCTAAGTTTTCTCTCATCTTCTAGTTCTTGTCTCACTGATTGCAATGCAGACTGCATTCTGTCTTGCTCCATGTTTCTTTTGACATGTTTATGCTCCGTAACTTGCTTCATCAGCTCATCTATCACCTGCCTGTCCTTTTGTTTCTCACGCAGCAGGTCTTTCATTCTTGTTCGTGCATTGTCCAACTCTGTTTTCATAGCCTTCAATAGTGACACGTTCGATGTGTGCTGCTCTTCAAGGCACCAGATGCGGTTGAGAACTTTGAGCAACTCAGTAGATGTTTTAAGGCTGTTACTGGGATCACCCATTCTCCCCTTGAAATCTAGAGAACTGCTAGGAGTAGCAGCAGGATTGTATTGCGTTACCTGTTCAATAAACAAGACAGTGTATTTAAGAAAAATTGACTTACCTAAAAAACTAGTACTACAAAAGATATCCAGTACTTGGGTAATCAGGCGGGGGAATTAAAAAAAACAAAAACAGAAACAAAACAAAAAAACAAAATCTGAAGAACATCTCAATCTTGCAGAAACAACACTTCAGCAACAGATCAAGAGTGCTATGAAGGGCATATTATCTTCAGCTTATATTTACTTGAGTAAACATCAGTTCAATACTCAGGAGGGTTCAGCTTCAACCCAATCGAAAATCAGTCCAATTCGGTGTACATTCACTACTTCAGTTAGGTCAGTTTAGATCAGAAAATGTCATTTCATATGAAGAAACCATACAGTTTATGGTAGAGAGCTGGAGATAATATTAGTATTAAAATTGGAAGATTGTCACAGGAAACTTGATCAGACAGCTAGCTTGATATAAACACTAACAACAGTTCCTACCATGCTTTTTGATCATCTACATGTTTTTTGCTCTTGTATATGTATGAACAGCATCAAGATGCCATGTTTTTCTCAAACTATTAATGTTAGGATAGAGAAAATAATACAGGTATGTATACCAGTGTTATGTGAGCACTGATTGCTCTCAAGCTTAGTTATAACCAAATTGTCCTTGTCTTTGCACAAATGCAAATCAGATCATACAATTGGATAATAAGCAAAATTCTTAGTAGCATAAGAATATAAAAATGCCAATTTCTTCGCACACACCAAGGGACGAGCGTATTTACCTCCATAGAACTGCTATAACTTGGAGGAGACACTGGTTGAATTTCACGGCCATTCCTGTTCACTGCTCGATGGTTTCGCAAAAGCGATGCTGCTATATTCCTGTGGAAGCTTCCAGCACTTACAGGCTGAAATAAGCACGAAAAGAAACTCATGAGCCGGTCAATTAAACAGACTGGCAGAAACCTCCCAAAAATATACAGGCATCTAGGCCATGATGTAATTGGAAACTTGGATTTAGGAATTCATTTAATGTCACGAGTTGATCATGGTAAAAAAACTGCAAGGCAAGTCATATGCATTGTCCTGATGACTCAATCTGCAAACTCAATGCAACCATGATGGGCCAAATCAATTTTGAGATTTATTCTTACCAAGCTTCGTACTTCCAAGGATAAGGCGATTAAGCAACCAAGAAGAAGGTAGAGATTCTAAGGCAAGGTACAAAAGAAATCTTCACACCAGAAAAGGCTATAGATGATCTTTATTTAGAGAGAAAAGGGTGCTTCTTGATGATAAAGGGAATGAGTCATGAGTTTACAAAAAAGTCATGATGATTCTCTACACAACACATATCCCTTATCACCTTGTGTATCTTCATGTAAAATCCCTCTAATTATATCTAGCAAGAGATAATATAAGTCACTGAATGACAAATTAATAAGTCAAAACTTAGATTGATGTGAAACAAAGCGTGCGGGTCAAGTCTAGGTAGAGGCAATGCATGTGCTCGAGCAAGCGTTTGGGCCGTTTGGCTGTACTTCTTTCTGTCTCCAGAAACATGCCTGCAGCATACAGCCATACAGAAATACAAGATGCAACACCCTATCTAGGAAGAAGCACAGCCATTCCCAGATACAAGCTTGCAGCATACAGCCATACAAGATACAGTTCCCTATCTCAGCAGAAGCACAGCCGGCTATTAATGCTTCTTCCTGTCTCAAAAAACATAGTTGCAGCACACAAGATACAGTCCCTACAATGTTTCCTTTTATCCTAACTTTATACAGGAAATTGTTCCCTTCTTTTTACTAGCATCTTTGCAGCATTTAACTCTCATTCTCCCAAATTCTTACACATAAGAAGCTGAAATTTCAGTGACATAGATGTTGCAACAATTTTTTTAAAACTTTTTTTTTTTAAATTGATTTGGTTGATCTAGAATGAAATTGATTAAACCACTTGCATTGACATCTCAACAGAATTTCCAATAACAGATGAACTGGCTTACAGTACAGAAAAGATTGAAGTTAAGGAAGCATATATGCAAAAGGGTTTAAACATCAAACAAGAAAATTCACAAAAACAACCAAACCCAGAAAAATCAGCAAGAAACAACAGAAACCCAGAAAACAAAAAATTAAAAAAATAATAATAATGAAGCAAAAATTACCTGTTCATGAGAAGCATCATCAGGTGGGTCCTCCAAAACAGTATGAATCTGCAAACCCTTATTTTTCAGAGCTTTATTATGATTATGATGATGGCGGCTCATTTTAGCAAGAGAATTAAGATGTGGTAAAACTTCCCACAAATTTGCACCCAATTGTCTTGCCGTAACAGATGAACTACTCCCACAATTATAATTATTATTATTATTAGTATGAACAATATTAGAAAGATTTGATTTTTCTTCTTGTTCTACTACTACTTCTTGTTGTTCTTCTTCTTCTAATTGTTGTTTAAGTTGAAAATTGGGCTCAAATTTCCAAGTAGGAGGTGGAGTAGTATTCCCCCCTCCTCTGCTTTTCCCCACCAATCTTCCGCGTTGTTTCAACTTTAATCCCAGGAATTCCTCCTTTTCTTTACCCCCTTTTTCTCTCTCCATTTTCTTCTTCTTTTTATTCTTAAACTTGCAATTTTTCAAACTTCTGTTTCTCTTTCTTCTTCCATTTTTTTTACACTGTCAAGAACAAATAAAAAAGCGATCTTGATTCAATCTCAATTTTTCATACTACTTGAAGCTTTAATTGTAGTGTACTGAAGTAGGCAAGTAGTGTCTAGTTTGTAGAGAGTAGAATAATAGGAAGAGGCTAAAAAAGCTAACTTTAACTTTATAATTTCTACCATGGGTGAAAAAACTTGCGTGCCGTGAAATGTTTGAAGTTTGAACTCTACAAATGTAGGTAATGTTTTGGTGTAGATTGGTTATTGGATTTGGGATTATTCTTTCTCGTACAATGGAAAGAGGGTGATTCCACAATTCGATAACATTAATCATGATTTCATAATCTTTAATACGGAGTAGTACAAAATATGAGTAATATGTATCCCTCCAACTTAAAATGGTACTCGTATATTGTAAACTAACATAGCAATGTTATTTCTTCCTGTTAAAAAAAAAAATTCTATGATATGAATTTTTATAATACAAAGTAACAAATTTACTTGGCACATAAGTTTAAATAGGTACTCCGTACTTTGTAATATTACAACTTTAAACGCATAGATATAAATATAAAATTTATAAGGATGATTTTATGAGAGATATGGTAAGAATAGTTTCAAACAAGATCTTGTAAAAGGTGGATGATTTTCAATTTTGTTACAAACCAGCAGTTATAGTAGTGTGTGTAATTTATCATATTATGACTCCAAATTTTGCAATAATTTCCTATTTCAAATCAATATACAATGTATTTATTTTCCTATGTAACATTACAAATTGTATATGATATCGTGAACATTTAGCTTATATTAGAATTTTTTGTGTATAAGAAGATATACAAGTATATGATCTTGTGAACTGTTTAGTATTTAAAATTATTTGTATTTATTGTTTTAGGTCAAGGGTTTAGGGGTAAGATGTCTTGTAAATAAGACTACAAAGTAATATGATGTGTAAAATGTAAACTATTATATTTTGCTATATACTGTATTGTTAAAATATTTTGTGTATAATAAGAAATATATATGATATTGTGAATGGTTTTATTTTTTGAAAGTTATATATTTATACTTCTTGTTTTAGGTCAAGGGTTTAGGGGTAAGATGTCTCTATAAAAACGATGTGTAAAATGTAAAAATTATTTGTGTGACATACCTCTTAATTTTATCTCACAAAGGGGAAATTTGTTTTCAATATTTAGAGGTTATAAGTCTTATAACTGTGAAAAATGTCCGAATATGTATTTTTGTTAGCCATAGTGCTCGTATGTCTAGTGCTTCTACCAATGATTTTGCCACCACTGCCGTCGCCGCCGGTGATATTCCTCTTAGTTCCTATTGTTATCTTTGGATTGCTATTGTTTGTGGCTTTCTCTACATGAAATATTACTATCCAAGACTCTATGCCTAAGTTCAAGTATACCCAAACTTGAACTAATGTTTCTTTGGAAATAACTAGTTGGTGTATATTATGCCAATTTATTGAATAATATATAAAATTTGCATTTATTTGTAATTCTTTTGTTATTACTTTTCGTATTGCGTGTTTAAATGTGTTTTCTTCGTATCATTCTTAATTAATATATTTTGACACTTTAAAGACACTCCATTATATTATTATGGAATGAAAACCCTCCCAAACTTAATACCTCAAACGCTACACAATCACTTAGGGAAATAATCTTAGATAAATCGTATTATATTATTCGCATATAAGTCCAAGGCTTACAATTTTTAATGGATTTATCTAAATATGTTACTCCATATATATAGTCCATACTCTATTAACCATTATAGCTTTATAAAGCTTCCAAAATAAAAGGCCAGTGCAACATTGTATGCATTTCTCTCAATAAATCCTTATATGCGACATTTTAATAGATAATTGACATCAATTTCCACAAATCGATACTATGAAGATTTGCATATACAAAGAAAGCTAGATAATCATATCGATATGATTCTCTAAAATATAATTTACCCAATGTAGAAGATTTTATTTATTTATTCCGTATTTAGTTTAATTGTATTGCTGATTCCAAATCGCAATTATGATGGTATAGTAAAAATCTCCAACTAGCATTATTTGTAATCAGCAGGTTTATAGATTATAGTTTGAATTATGGGATTTCATTGGAATACTTGTAACCTTTAGGGGCCCTAGCCATCAACTTCAGTTTAGAACTTCTTTCGAATTATTATGATTATTATTTATTTTGCATGGGATAAGACATATCATGTACGGAGTAGTTTCAAAAATATAAAATAATGTGAATCGGATCTAGTCATAGACAACTCATAAATAATTGTATTATGTTTATTCATGGACAAGTTATATATGCCAGTATTTAAACAAAAAGGGAATTATGACTTAGTACATTACGGTTTAACATATAACGAACTACTATTAGTAATTACTCCGTAAACTAAAAGGGAAAAGGAGGATGAAGTTACTTATTTAGATATACTTCGTATACTCTCTCAAATCTATTAGTCGTCCTTTTGATCAAAATCATAGGAGTACCTTCTTTGTTTCTAAAATATTGTTCAATTTAACTCTGATTAGAAAAGCCAAGACTTTATGTGCAATCCATGTCACTGAAACATGTGATAAACAATTGGAATGTAAAAAGGTAAAACTCAAATGTAACATCCTCACCGAAATTTTTACTGCTTGTTCTGTTGTTCATAATTCAGAAACTCACACATGCATCACAGGTACTCCGTAATAAGGTTGAGTCATCTATAAGTGATTGTACATAAGTGGGCCCCAATCGTTGGTACAGCTGTAAGTTCAGGGGAAAAAACAATTAATTTCACCACATTTTAATGTCAGAAAAGACAACACTTTGGACTCCATTAATATACACTACAACGTCTACAAAGTATACTACAAGATGAATGTTTGTGGTCCAAAATTTCTTTACTCGTAATTTGTTGATGGGTTTATAGTACTCTTTTGCAGTTTCCTATAAAGAACAAACATAAAGATTATGAAGTTATTTTGATGACTAAGTTAGGCTCACATAAATACTCTTAACAATAGATTAATATTCATATAGCTCTTGATATTATAGGTCAAGAATAATCAATACGATGACCTAATGCATGCTAACATCCATCCTCCATCTTCATTTCGTTCTTCTAAACTATCTCCTACTTGTACGGATATATTGGTGAATGTAATTATACTCATTACTATACACGTGCCATCACGCATGCCTACAATTATATTACTAAAAATGTATTACCTGATTAATTAATCTAGCATGCATGCATTGTCTTTATAATAGTAAATACAATATACTCCCTCCGTTCCATAATATTTGGAACGTTGGGATAGACACATAGTTTAAAAAAACTACAAGTTACAAGTAAATCCATCTAAAACATTTGTTTATTATATAAAAGATTTTCTTTTGTATTTTTATATTGTAAGAAAAAAACAAGTGGGGGTGGAAGTGGAGTAGGTGAGGTGAGAGAAAATGTGGAAAAATATTTTTTTATAGGGTCCCATTTCATATTTAGTAACTTGTCAATTATTGTGGGACAGACAAAAATGAGAATTGTATCAAATATTTTGGAACGGAGGGAGTAATATGTTTTATAATGATTATAACACTTCCTATATGTAGTAATTAAGTTTATTTTAGTTTATGTTAAAGTTATTGTTTCAACTATCTGACCCTTTCGACAAATATACAAGTTTCAGAGATTTATTTATTAGGAAGCTAACAATGCAACTAATTGGATCCTTATAAAATTATACCGTTTTTTTTTTCTTTTCTTTCTTGAGTGGCCAATTTAATGTCTTAATCGATCACCCATCTCGTCAAGAGTTTTCCATGTATTTAAACTTGCATTTGGGAACTAGTAGTGTCTCTCATTTTAGTGGTTGCCTTGTCTTGTGTTTTCAATAGACTCGCATTAAATTGTGAATCACTTCTCTTCACTAATATCACAGCATGTATGATAGCATAAGTTGTACTGTGGGCCATTGGGCCCACAAAATGAAAACCCATATACTTACAGTTAGGCAGGCTGGCATCATGGACCGTTGGTATCTCTTACCGTTGAGAGGAGAAGCGGGGCCCACAAATAAATTATACGTAGCCCATATATTTGGGCAACCCATCCTTTCCCGGTTTCACCTATAAACTGCATGATGTTCATGTTGTACGTACCAGTAAAAGCATACCGTAATAAATTCCATTTTTTAAACAACGTTTTTTAAGTGTAGCCAATCATAACCCTTGACTGATCGGGTAACTCCTGACCAACCGAGTAACCTCTGACCAATCAAGTAACTCCTGATTGATTAAATAATCTTTGCCAAGTTATCTTGAGCACATATGACTTTTTTTTTTTTTTTTGGGAAAAAATTGTTTTTTTAATTAAATGTGTGAACTCAATTTAAAAAATAATAATAAATAATAGTGTTATTCTTTTATTTATTTATTTATTTATTTATTTTTTTGGTATTTCTACATTTCTTAAATATTCCAATTTGATTTGTATCATATATATCCTGTCAATAAAAAAGATTTGTATCATATATACTCCGTTTATTATTGCTATTAAAGTATAAACATAAGCACGGCAGCCGCAGCTTCTGAGTCTGAATTATTTACTCTCTAGGTCTTCCAAACACATTTATGTTAGAATTTGTTATATACACCCGGATGTACCGTATACCTAAGTAACCTAAGGTTAGTGTTTGCTCTTCATTTGATGATTAAATAAAAAGCAATCATCAAAATGAGAACAAAATACTCATGGGTGTATATAACACCCGGGTGTATATAACAAGCTCTCCATTTATGGTGTGTTCTATTCACCTGATTTTCACTTATTTGAAGTGAACTTAACTTATCTGAACTTATTTGGATTTAACTTAACTTATACTCATATATCTTAACTTATTAAAACTTATTTTAGCTGTAATTTAAACTTTGACAACCCTTATCAGAACTTATTTTTTCCACTAAACTAAATTGAACTTATCTTAACTTATTAAACCTGTGAAAATAAGGTAAATAGAACAACCCTTAGAGAAAGAGAATATGGAGGAAAACTCATCATCATCAATATCATCATCATCAACAACAATTAATGATCTTGTTGATGTGTTATTGATTGAGATATTTGTTAGACTTGAGTTTTATGGAACAGTGATTAGATGCAAATTAGTAACAAAGCATTGGTTATCTCTACTCTCGAACAATACATATGTTATAGAATACCTAAACCATAAGAATAATCTTCCCTTACACAAGAAGTTTCAACAACCATGAACGTTTTTTCAACGATGAGGATGACTAGACCGATGAATTCTCACAAAAAAAATCCCAACTCATACGGTATTTAATTCTTCAAACTTCACCCTCAATTTTCTTCCTTGTTCGTCATCATCGTTGAGAGTTGTG